TATGGGAATAAAGATATGATATAAAATTTCAAGAGTTTCTTTCCATATTTTTTTAAAAATGGAAAGATGAGCAGACAGCTAATCTTCAACAAAGGAGCCAAGAACATACAATGGAGAAAGGAAAGTCTCTTTAATAAATGGTGCTGGGAAAACTGGACAGCCTCATGCAAAAGAATGAAAGTAGACCATTATCTTTTTCCATACACAAAAATAGACTCAAATTGGACCAAAGACTTGAAGGTAAGACCTGAAACCATAAAACTTCCAGAAGAAAATATAGGCAGTACACTCTTTGATATAAGCCTCAAAAGGATCTTTTCAAATACCATGTCTACTTGGACAAGGGAAACAAAAGAAAAAATAAACAAGTGGGAATTCGTCAGACTAAAGAGCTTCTGGAAGGCAAAGGAAACCAGGATCAAAACAAAAAAACAACCCACCAAGTGGGAGAAAATATTTGCAAATCATATATCTGACAAGGGGATAATCTCCATTATATATAAAGAACTCACACAATTGAACAACAAAAAAACGAACCACAATCAAAAAGTGGGCAGAGGATATGAATAGACATTTTTCCAAAGAAGATATACAGATGGCCAGTAGGCACATGAAAAGATGCTCAACATCACTAATCATCAGGGAAACGCAAATCAAAACTACACTTAGATAGCACCTTACACCTGTTAGAATGGCTAAAATCACCAAGGCAGAAAATAACAAATATTGGAGAGGTTGTAGAGAAAAGGGGACCCTCACACACTGCTGGTGGGAATGCAAACTGGTGCAGCCACTATGGAAAACAGTATGGAGATTTCTCAAAAAATTAAAAATAGAAATACCTTATGACCCAGCTATCCCACTACTGGATATTTATCCAAAGAACTTGAAATCAACAATTCAAAGAGACTTATGCACCCTTATGTTCACTGCAGCATTATGCACAATAGCCAAGATGTGGAAGCAACCCAAGTGCCCACTGACTGATGAATGGATAAAGAAGATGTGGTACGTATATACAATGAAATACTATTCAGCCAGAAAAAAGACAAAATCATCCCATTTGCAACCACATCAATGGACCTTGAGGGTATTATGTTAAGCAAAATAAGCCAGACAGAGAAAGACAAACATTATATGATTTCACTCATTTGTGGAAGGTAAACATGAACACTGACAAAGAGAACAGTTTAGTGATTATCAGGGGGAATGGGGACAGGAGGTGGGCACAAGGGCTGAAGGGGCACACTTTTATGGTAACTGACAAATAATAATGTACAACTGAAATTTCACAATGTTATAAACTATTATGACCACAAATAAAAAAAATGAAAAGATGGATATCACATTGCCGTGGTACTTGGATTCCGTGGATACATTTAAAAGAATAAATTAACTGTTTATTTTATTTTATTTTATTTGGTGAGGAAGATTGGCCCTGAGCTAACATCTGTTGCCAACCTTCCTCTTTTTGCTTGAGTAAGATTGTCGCTGAGCTAACATCTGTGCCAATTTTCCTCTGTTTTGTATATGGGATGCCGCCACAGCATGGTTGATGATCAGTGTGTAGATCTACTCCCTGGATCCAAACCGGCAAACCCCAGGCTACCGAAGTGGTGCGTGCAAACCTAATCACTATGCAACCAGGCCTGCCCCAATAGTTTTATTTTTTAATGTCAATATTTAAAACATGCCAGAAGTTATGTTTTTTGTAACTGTTACAACTTGTGATGAAAAAATGTAGATGCTAACCAAAAGTGCGACAGAGGTACACAGTTTCAAAATTCTTTCAGTGGAAACACAAGCAAAAGAGTTTAAAAGCCCCCGTCAAATCAACCACTCCTCAATGTTTCTTGAACACACATTTATTTTCTTGCATAATACTTATCCACAGTCTTCTGAATGCATTTCAGGGAAAAAAAATTTTAGATATACTTGAAAGTCCTAATTCCTGCACGGTTGTACCAGAAGGTGTGTGCTTCTCCATGTCATTCGTTCATTCACCTATTAACTTAATGAATACTAGTTGAATGGATACTAAGTTTAAAAACCTGTGCCAAGCCCTAGAAATCACCCACTGGAATCACATACAGTGATTAAATCCTCTAATTAAATCCTTTTGTCACAGAGCCTAACAATGATCAAATTCTTAAGCTCTGATCTTGGTTGAGACTACGCTGGATGAAAATTACGAGACTCATGCAATATCCTCCTGAAAACTAAAACGACCTTAGGAAGGTCTAGCACAAACATATAAGAATAAACAAGAGTATTTCAGAGGGCAGGCTTATTGTTCCAAGGCTTGAATTCTACTCTTAATTGAAATGGCTCCTTGGTACTCTCGTAGGACCCTGAAAAGATGAACTAGAAGCTAGTTCATAAGGGGGTCCATATCAGAGAATATATCCTGACTACTGATGGAAAAAAATCAAAGTCAAGTAGGACAGGCTATGAAGTGATATCAATATTCTGGGTCTGTCACTCTGTGCCCCTAGACTTCGCAAATGCTCTGAAGATTATGTGTGCGTGGAGTTCTGATCTGGAGATGAATTACCTGCGCAGTCCGACTGGCTCTGTTGAACAGAGTCAGCTATATTTTTGGGGGCATAGAAGATGACATTAATATTACCCATATTTATCACGGAGGGGAGGCGCAGTGTTGCAAGCTGCAATTCTGAGATCCATGCGTTCAGTCATGAGCGTGTGCTGTTCTCTGATGTATGTGTTAAACCTAGCAAGCTTTTCTTTTAAAGGAATTTTTTACTCTCTGTTAAGTGTTTATATCCACCTTCCTTCCTTAACCTAAACACACTCTTTCACACATTCTTATACCCTTTAGTGTGATTCTTGCACAAAATGATCCCTTCTTTAATTATTCAGAGAAAAATCTCTGTTTGACGGGGACAGTGGGGATGAAAAACTCACTATTCCTTCCTGCACACACAAATCCTCTTGGGGTAGACTGGCAGGATGCAGTCTGCAATCTAGTTTTTTGTGCGTTTGTGTTTTGTTTTTAACAATTGGAGAGCAGTCTCCTGCCATTTCTCAGTGATTACTTACAAAGTCAAGAAGAGATCTGGTCCACTGCTCTCAGAGACTGACCCTAGGCAATATAAAATCCAGAGATTTCTGCTTGTCATCTTTATATACTCACTCATTCAACAACATTGACCACCTTTGGTATGCAAAGCCCTGAGCCAAGCATTAGACAGAATTATCTGTATTTCATAGGTTCTGAGATACGCATTTTTCAATATTTTAATGTCGTTGAATTTGGAATGTTTCCATGGCAATGTTTTTTTTTCTTTCTTAGTGGCACCAAAAAACAATTCCGTGTCTTACAACCAATGGCCTCTTAGATTTGATGGAATACTCTATCGCTCATGACTTCTCTGCTTTCACTAAAAGAGGGAATATGCAAAATAAGAAGAGGCAAAACTCACAAACCAGCAAGCTTTTCACTTATCATCAGTTTTTGGAGCAAAAGAAAAATCTCGAAGCTGGTGTGGTTTGAAGATGATCTGTGTGTTTCATTTACTCAAGCTCTCCCTGGCCTTAGAAACGTGTCATAATTGAGTGTGGATTATCTATTGTTATTCTATAGTTCTTAAATTCCTAAATGACTTTTTTATTGCTGTAGAGTGAGTGTGAGAGAGTGTGTCTGTGTGTGTGTGTGTATAGAGCTTTCTACCAAAAACTCATTGGAAATTGATTTTTGGCCTGTTGTTGAAGCCATAGTTTGAGGAGACTTTTTCTTAGCATTTATCTATAACATGTCAGTAGAGACTAGTTAGAAATACTTTAAATCAAGCAAAAGAAAGTTTTTCTGCTCCCTGTATTCATCCAAATGTTTATTGAGTCCCTATGATGGATCAGATGCTGCAAAGCACTATCAGGAGACAGACAAATGGGATATCATTTTTGCCTTCAAGGGACTTACACTTTAAAGGGGAAGAAAACCTATAAACCATGAATGCTCAGATCAGGAAGAAAGAAATGAGTCCTCTAACCATGACCAGGGATATCTAGAGATCCGTATCATATCACAGCATCACACTGACCTTTAAATATAACAAAACAAAGGCTGTCCTCTCCTTTCCTCTGAGACGTGGCTGCAACAGAGAAAAAGACCCCAGGCAGAGCTCAGAATAACGTCCCCAAACAGCCCTTCTGTGGTTGATGTAAAGAGACAACTCCCACCCACTGGGGGATGGCAGGGCTACAGAAACTTCAGTCAGCTGAGTTTTCCATGCCTCCTGTAACTGCTATGGTGGGTTTCTACCCACTAACAGGTCCTATCAATAATCCGTTCGCTCCCTACTCTCATTGCACGCTGCTTTGTCCTTTGTCTTCGCTGCCCAGCTTCTCCGTGAGCCCTCTCAACCCCTTCAATTGCCTTCACCATCCTTCACCTCCAATCTCTTCATAAAATAATCCCTTCTCTCTTTTTGAACTACAAGCTCTTCAAAGGCAGGAACCATGCCTGTGTGACAGAGTAGACCCTAAAAATAAATTTTACTGCCTTGAGGAAGAAAGAAAGGGAGAGAAAGAAGGGAAGATGGCTTTTCTTCTTGACTATATGAGACTAATAAACTGAAGGAAATTTGGGGTCTATTGCAGAGCAGGAAATGGTACCTTGGAATGCCGAGGAAGTCCAACTTGAGTTTCCCCTCCAGCCAATCTCGACCTAATCTTTTGTCCCAGCACATGTGACAGTTGAGATTCTCATGAAGGACAGATGGTAGGGGGCCTGGTCAATTTATCTAGATTTCCCAGAGTACTGACTTTCAAGCCACCTTTCTCTCCTACCTGGTATGCAGGTGATTAAAAGTGAAGTTATTAAAGAGATAGTATTGAATCCACTCTAATTTTGGGGGGTGGGGGGAGGCAGATCACTTGCAAATTTTTCTATTTCACTTTTAGCAACAGATTTCTTGAGACAAACCAGTTTGTGCTCCCCCAGCATCCCGCTACCCAGTGCCTCCTCCACCAGAGCTTACCTGCCCTCAATTCAGACCCAGAAGTCAGAATCCAAAGCAACAGGAACTCTTGCCTCGGCCCGTACCCAAAATGGTCCTGCTTTCTTCTTTTAACTCATAAAATACGCGTGAAACTTATAAACAGAAGGAAAAGTAGAAACATGACCAATTTTAAAAGAAAATCACTCATTCTAAGTATGTTCATCTTATTGAAAAACAAAACACACAAACAAACACCTTTACTTCTAGTGTTTCCAGGTTTATGCTGTCTAATTTTTAGACCATTGTCATATGTAATATTTGGGACATACACATCCTAGAAATTATTTGTTGTTTATCTGAAATTTGAATTGAACTAGGTGTTTGTATTTTATCTGGCAATCTTATCACTAGAGAGCATTCCTTGGGATTCACCAAAGACATTTATATACACTACTTCTTCTGAGCAAAGAGATTTGAAGTAATAAGTACCTCATAACGGTAGCAGCTCAAATATTGGGTAGTCTATCAAAGGAGAAGAAATTGAGGACTTCTTAGCATCTCAGAAATCGCCATACAGGCAGAGGTCCAGCTTGTCTGTAAGAAAGGAGATCAACCACAGTGATAAAGAAGGAGGCAGTGGGCAACAAAGTAAGGGATCAAAGGGAACAGAGCGTTTCTGAGGACCACAGCAGACACAATGTGCCTGGCTAACTGGTGCCACCCTGTGCCCACCCCGGAGAGAGCCCACTCTGCTCAGTCCTGTCTCCTCCCTCCCGGGCCTCCGGGAAAGTGGAGAACGAGACCCAGTTCAGTGCTTTGGAAGCCATAACATTTTGACAGAGGAACCCAACTAACTTTCAGCTTCCTTCTTTTTGCGCCTCAGCCCAGGACTTTCACACAAGTTCTCACAAAGGCGAGGCAAGTATTTATAGGTGGAAAATGGCAATAGGTGTGTTGATAAGCTCAAAGAAACAGTTAAATCTGTGTGTGGATCATTTGATCACAGTATCTGGAATATATAAACATGGCACATATTATCTCTCCCCCCTCTTTTTTTTGGCCTCAAAATTTGATCCAAGTCTGGGAGTTAAAAAGTCCCATTTTGTGTAATCAGGTTCTGGTTGAACATGATTGCTGAATTATTTTAAATTGAAGACACATGTCTAGAGGCTGAGCTGTATGTATTATTTCAGGATGGTGTCCATTAGGCCTTATCCACAGGGGCTATCTTCAACTTTTGCCACATTCAATGCATTCTTTATGCATCAATATTTGCAAAATGGTGAATCATATATAAGGGAAAATTGGAGGGAATATGGTACTCGTTAAAGGGTGATTTTTTGAAATTATCTCAAATGCATTATTCAGACCTGTTTCCAGTCTCCCCTGCTAAGGGTCCCAGAGCTCGTCGGAAAATTTCTGGAAAAAAAGAGAGAATATTTTAAAGACAATAGCAATGCAAAAATAAATAAAACCCTGTAGTTGTGCAAGACCCTTCTGCAAGTCTATGGCTCTGAAAACGTTACAACTGAATCAACATTTACTTTAACTCCTTGTCAGTCCTAAACATTTTAAGTGTCCTAATTGCAGATCTAAATTGTTGCCACTGCCATGGGTTTTTCCTTTTGAATGCATTTGTCCCTGAACTGAGGCTTTTGTCAGACTTCACCTCGCAAGGGCAGCCGGTTGATTTTGTAAATTGTTGCATCATGTCAAGGGCTCCAGCTCTGACTTGAAGGTCGCTGGCTTTCCCTGAGGAGTGGTTGGGCTGAGGGAGACTGTAATGCTCAACCACACCAGACACCACCCTACTCCAAAGATGTCCTCCATGCTAAGAGCTGGGACATCCATTGAGTGGGTAAGAGCTATATTGGTGTATAATTTCCATATAGTAAAATTCCCTCATTCGAAGTATACAATTCAATGATTTCAGTAAATTTACAGAGTTGCGCAACCATCACCACAATCTAATTTTAAAATAATTCCATCACTCCACGAGAAACCTCACGCCAATTTGCAGGCACTCCCCATTCTCTCTTCTAGCCCTTAGCAATTGCTAATCTACTTTCTGTTTCTATAGATTTGCCTTTTCTAGACATTTCACATAAATGGAATCACACAAAATGTGGTCTTGTTTTGTCTGGCATCTCTCACTTGGCCTGACTTTTTGAGGTTCATCCATATTTAGCATGTATCAGTACTTTGTTTTTGTTGCTGAATAATATTCCTCTGTATAGATATACCACATTTTGTTCGCTCGGTCATCAGTTGACAGACATTTACTCAGGTTGCTTCTACTTTGAGATCATTATAAAAAATGCAGCTGTGAACATTCGTGTACAAATGGGTATTTTTAAAGGAATTTGATGTAGGATTGTCAGTGTCATTCAGTAAACTGTGAGTCGGATTTACTTTTTATTTTTCTAAGGGGTTACTCATGCTCTTGTTAAAGCTGTCGTTTGGAACATTCTAGAATAAAGTAGGTCCCTGAGTGCTTCAAGAAATAATATTTATTAAAGTGTGAGAACCTTAATGATTCCAGGACATGAAGTGGTTAAGAGTAAGGAAGGGAACACTTGGAAATTTCGAGATGGAAAGTGATCACAACCTGGGTTCCAAGAATTCAGACCCACGCGCGCCGGCTGCACAGCCGTTGCTTACAGCAGCCTCGGCACACGCTGATTTCTGAGCGTCCTGCTGACTTAAATAACGTGGAGGCTACTCTGGGAGAAGTAAAGTTGGAAGTGGCAGGGAGGTGAACAGGTCATAACATGGGAACAGAGTTGTCAGGCTTTGTTTATTTTCATGCCTTCTAGGACTTCAGCGGCTGATAGGAGATACCGGCAATTCTGTCATGGAGGAACGAGTGCTGCACGTGATGCGGAAGCAGCTATATCAAAAACCGCCCTTGCACACTGCCCCCAAATCACCCGTCCAGAGCCGGAAAAGCCCATGTCATGAGAAATCGTTTCCCCAGGAATCATCAAAGAAAGCAGGCATATAAACAGCAACATGGTTTACCGAAAGTGACACTGGTCAGAGGTAAAGCCCCACATTCTTGTCTTGGCTTGTCACTAACCCTCTCTGTGGCCTTGACCAGGTCACTAACCTCTCTGGGCCTTGGTTTCCTTGTTGTGAAATGAAGGGAGGTGACACCATGATTCCTGCCTAAGGTTTTTTCTACAGCCAGTATTTTGTTTCTCTGACAACTTTGAAAACTTATGCTTTTGAAACCTACATTTAAAAGTTAAACCAGTGTCCTCATCCTGTTCGCAATCGACTTACTGATGTTAAGAGACTCGATCTGCAACGTCAACTGGTGGATAATTAGCATTTGGAACATAATTTTTTTAAATGACACACAGCCTCCCAGTGGCACCCCAACCCTGTTTTGCAGACAGGAAAATCGTTGTTGATTTTTCAACATATTCTCTTGCAAGTCGTTTAGCTTCTTTGCATCAGAGTTGGGAATTGAACCAACATTTTAGGGCTTCCAGACCTTTATTATATCAATTAATCCAGATTGCCTGGGAGCAAGAAAAGAATCATTCAGGAGCTTGTGTAAAATAATCCACCATTAAAAAGTCTCTGACTCACTGGCCAAAAAAGAGCATTTTTTCCTGTTTTTGCTTTGTGGTTTAGGTTCTTATTGGAATGGTGAGACTTTGCTGGTGAAAGAGGTTGGAGGGTGGGACAATAGGTGGGAAGGCTTTATTCTCCCAAGAATAGAGAATGTTCCCTGCTGAGAAGAATGCCAGTCTATCTTTGATTCCCTTCTCGTGGTTGCCTACGCTCTCTCTTTTGCCCGTGAAGCAATGTAACATACTTGCCTAGCTTCTCAGACACAAAATCATCTCCTGGAGGCTTAACACGGCTTTCATTAGGAGTTTCAAGTACATCTCTTAATGGAAGACAGCAGTCTCGGCCCATGCCCCCTCGACAAGAAGCAGCCGTGGAGTTCACAGGGATGCCTGATTCCTTCAACTCCATGCAGAGCATTCCAGAGCCCTGACATTTTGACTGTTTTCCAAAGCCAGTGACCAGCCTGGTAGGGAAAGAATCTGGGGACAGATGGTAGGAAATTGAAATCACATCATCACTACCCTCTCCCAAAAGCTGGCCCGTTATTTTGGCAAATCTTCACAAAGCTATACGGCACTCACGCTGGTCTGATGGAGGTCTGCATCTTCATCGTCGAGGCCTGAACATCAGGGCTGATAGAGAGGTGGCATATTAAAGAGGAAATTGCATTAATGTCATGTGGTCCCTCTATGACAATCAGAACCACATGTAAATCTGAAGAAATCCACATGCCACCAGACAAATGAGGAGGTCTCTTTGCCCTTATAGACCCATCTGCTGTTGAAAAATAACCTTGTGTTAGTGAGGAGACATTCTGTGTTGGAAAGGCAGTCTAGTCCTTGAGATAAAAATGGTTGCAAAGTTTCTTTTTTTGATTTTCATCTTTGAATTTAGCTGAAAGATAGTCTAGTAGGTAAAGCCATCTGAAGCAAGTGCCACAGCATCATGAGAAGATAGCAACATTCTCTTCTGATTTGCTGTAGATGTCTGACAACCTCTCTTTGTTTTACCTCTTCCATTTGTAATATAGAAATAGTCAGTTTTCACATTACAAACCAAATATTAACAGCCCGGGCTGAATTCTTGTCCACCCCTGAAGGCACTGAGTGAGGAGTGGAAGGAAGTGACAGGAGGAGAAAAGACCTCCTGGTGTACCCTGGAGGGATGGCTCAGGTTCGCAGCTCAATCTACGTGATGCAGGTTCCACTTCTTCCAATTGCCAACTTTCGTAAATGCTCCCAACAACGCAGGGAGCGATCAGGATACTTTGGTTGGTACCATCTCCCCGCCTGATGATGTCAGTTTATTTTCACAGTGAGGAATCATATTTCTTCCTCTCTTGAATATTTCAAAACAGTGTGAATACTGTACAAGTCTAAAAACATAAAATTACTTAAAATTCTTCAAAGAAAGTATTTTTAAGAATACTCAAAATTGCATATTACATTTCTCCAAGCTCTTACTCAAAAAAGCAAACATAATTTATTAAAAGACATATCTCTTATTCTATCTTACTGTCATTCCAAAAGGAGGGAGAAAAGCAGGTAATTTGTGATTTGATGGTTTCTACTTCAAAATTCCTGCCTCACCACTTATTACTTGCATGATTAAAAAGTCTGAGTTTCAGTATTCTTATTTATAAAAATCAGCATAACAACAACAATTATTACTATAATAGCAACTTTCAAGGATTATTGTGAAAATAAAATGTTACATGCTTTTTCAATTGTGAAGCCCTAATTCAAAGTTAGTTATTATTATCTATAGGGGGAAAAAAACTCCCAGCAAATTCACCAAAGCATCTGGAAAAGATTTGTCTTTTGTACAGGGTTGTCATTAGTGTGGGATGCAGAGGAAAATTCTGAAAATATCAAGATGAGGAGTGAGCTGGTTTGAACAACTTCCTTGTCTGCATTTCTCTTTTTCCGATTATGTCTCCAAAACTTCCTTGTTTTTTGAGTGTATTTCTATATGCTTCTCAAACTGGGAGATACCGCTGTCAAAGAACTCAAAACTGTGTCAGAGAAAATCCCCCTGCCGTCTCATATCTCTTGAACACCCTTCCCTAGGAGATCAGACACTTTCTCCTGGCAAGATGCTCATTATTCAGACATTACTTTGCAATTTCCTTCGACTTCAGCTCGTCTCCAGGTTAAACTATGCCTTTATTTCAGGATACAGGGAAAACTTTGAAGGATGAGAAACTGGAGTCAACTGTAGATAAACTTCTGGAATGGTACCAGCAGATATAAGCTTTGACAATATCATCTCCATCACGGTTGATTATAAGTGATTCATAACTTTCTCACTTACATTGTTGTTAAAAAATACTGGAGTCCTGAGTTTCTAAATTAATAAACTCCCTTACCAACAGCACAATATTCCCTTAATAACTTATTCCTGACACAGACCCCTTGTATGAACCTGTATTGATCACATTCTTAAATGGATCACAGTACTGGATTTCTACCCGTAGAATCAGAATTCTCCCTCCTCCGTAAGGCAGGAGGGCCATGAGGTTTTCTTTGGCTAATTCACAGGGAGAAGGTGGGAAAGACTCGGGGACAGAAGACAAGAAAGTCTGATGCTCAACAGAAAGGGGACCCTGGATTTGGAGAAAAGGGGCCTGAGATGACATGTTATTTAAAGAACTCTGTCTCCTTAAAGTTATATACTGCCAAAAATCTGTATGAAAATATAGTCTTTGGATTGAGTTGGGCATCATATGGACATAACAATTACATGTTCTTAAAAATCTTCATTTTCATCCAGATATTATACAGACAAGCAACTAGCTTTAGCAATCCTGCTAGCTAAGCATTCTGAAACTTTTCTGA